GCTACATCGTCAGAATCAAACTTATTAAATAAAAGTTTGTTTCTACGTAGTTTTATTTAATAATGTTATATATAAAATTCTCGTGTTGTTACCATACTCCTCCGGAACGGCTTGACTGATTTTTATGAAATTTTATATGCATATTCAGTAGGTCTGAGAATCAGCTTCTATCTATTTCATATATCATACCCCTAAGTGATAAGTTGGTTTTCCACGTTGTTTTTGGACAAAATTTTAGTTTATTATTTTTAATAATGTGGCATTAAAAATACATACAACCCAAAATTTTCACCCTCCTACCACCAGCCCCTATTTTTATGGCGGTACGAAGTTCGCTGGGTCAGCTAGTACAGTATAAATACAAACAATGTTCATATTATTAGCTATGATAGATAGTATCTCAAGAGTATCACAGTATAGAGCAGACTCAGACTCACTCGAATTACGGAGGAGCCATGAATAGTAAATTTTTGGTCACCCATCTTATGACCGACCATTGCGCTGGCCACTACCCTATCGAACTTCTAGGTATATTTGTCCTAGTCTAGCGGGTAAACCGACATTAGCATTACGAGTGGCAGTCAGAGACAACGCGTTCCCTGACGTGACGACTGACGACCAGGGTTGCCTGGTCTTTTCCAAATATATACCGAACAGTGAGCAAAAAAAACAGTTTAATCATTATTTATTAAATACAAAGTACCATTGCACAAGATAAACTAGCTAACCTAAATTATAAAAATTGTCTTTTTTTCACTAATGCACGCTTCTAGCAATGTCTTATCTCTTATCTATTAGACAAGTCCGTCCGTCTGTCTGTCTGTGGTGCTGTTTCAGCGGCCAAACCGTAAGAGATAGATAAAGAGAATATTTAAGTTATAAGTTAAGAATAGTCTGATAAGACTACAAACCGGATTTGAGTAACGTAGCACTTCCGGTTTTCGAGAAATCACGAATTTCAAACGAAACCACACAAAATCTCCGAAGTTCTCAATTAATTAAATACATTTTTTTTTTAAATCAGGTTTTGGTGAACATTTGGTTCACTGGTTTGCTAGTTTTCTTTAACTGTCCCATGCATTTCACGACATATCAGATTGTAATTGCATCATTTACATAATTTAGCCTTCACCATGTCCACACTTAATTTATTACGGTTGTCAGTAAACAAATGATTCATATGGCTAAATACTCTTTCTACATAAGCATTACTACATGGTACTGCCATCCGCATGCACGATCCGCTATCCACGAAATGGCTCAATAACAGTGAACACGTGCACAATGCGGCAAACACAAACTAAGTAGGGATGCTGCGCAACATTAACTGCCGATTGCGTATATAACGGAGTAAAATTAATCAGAAAAAATATACTGAACCGTCCATACTTCGGTATTTTTGTCATACCGAACACCGAACACAGTTCTAATATACCGAACGGTTCGGTAGAATACCGAACACCTGGCAACACTGCTGACGACGAAGCACAGTCGATGGCCCTCGAAGCCGGTTGACACACGCTGCCCAAACAGAATGTCGAGACGTTTCATCCGTCTTTGTCATTTTGCCTCTTTGTATTATGCAGTGGGAGGCGGTGGCAGCGGTGATAGCGATCAGCGATTTATGCTCTGAATCTCGCGGAATATTGTTATGTTGGAGATTGAAAAAAAAATACACTTTTCAACACAAAGGTAAATTGTTACTGTTCCTGATACTCGTAACTCTTAGTAAACTTTATTACACGAAGTTCGAATATGAAAACACTTAAAAATCATTGGTTGATTTTTAAATGGAATAAGTAACGTTTCGGATTCTTGAAATTAACTACTTAGTGGAGCCAATGCAATATTCACATTAATGCTTATGCCACATCTGCCCGTGACGAAGTTTCGGGTGACTTTGGTAATAATACGCTCTAAAATAGCTAGCTAAATTAAATAAAACAAGTTTCAATTTTATCATCATCAGCAGCCTAGTACTGGGGCACAGGCCTTTCCTATGGAAGGAATAGGGAGATTGGGCAATGACCCACCACGCGGGAGCAGTGCGGATTGGCGGGTGCTAACGACTACAGATGCAGCCCGGACCAACGGCTTAGCGTGCTTTCCGAAGCACGGAGGAACTCGAGATAGAAGATTTTTGAAGATGTTAACGATACACTGTACGACTATTTAATAAAAATTGTCATACAGTTATCATAAGCGGTTGTTATCTTTTCGGCATTACATCTTTAGACGGCCGCTTCTCAATTCGAGCGAGAAGTTTCTCCATCTTCTTTGTCAAATCTTGTAACGCTGTAAACGTCATCTGCAACCAACAAAATACACACTTCAAAAAACCTTTCTTGGTGCAGGGCTTTGATTATGTACAAGCCTAGATACCGTATAAATTCCACAGAAGCGGCCCAAAAATAGTACTAGACTAGTACTACATAGATACACTTGTTGCTGCACACGCACAAATAATCTGACGTTAGATTCATGCAAACATTGCGCATAATATGAGCCATTTTCTTTGAATAGTTTATTTGGATTGACTATCTAGGAGTATTTTTAATCACATATGCTGATTAATACAACGATTAAGACCAAATTCACCCTCAGAGTCGCACGGTTGGAATCCCGTCACAATGTGAATTTTAATTCCTTTGTGGTGCGGGTGCCAACCGAACATCTGGCGACGTTCATGAAGGAAGATTTTTGGCCGAAAGGTGTTGTGTTCCGGCGGTTCCGAGGCCGGCTACCTGACACCACTCTGCGTCACACGTCGCCGTCTATACGTGTTAATTAGGTTTCTACTAACATAGTTTTTTTTTTCTAGTAAACTTTTCTTTAGATTTAAACATGTAGCAGTTAAATGCTTAAAAAATAAATAAAATCATAACTATAATTGCTATTTCTTCTTTCAAATGTTTAATACTTGAAAAAGTATTCATTTAACATTGTGGGTTAACCAGAATGCGAAGAGATGGCGCTGCCTTGCAGTTTAATTCTAGGAAAATTTCGACGCGGCTAATAGGGCCGTGGTAGCATAATGGTCAGTGCATTCGCCGGATAGCGAAGGATGCGGGTTCGAGTCCCGTCCGCTGCCTGGTCCACGTGGATTTTTTTCTAGTAAACTTTTCTTTAGATTTAAACATCTAGCAGTTAAATGCTTAAAAAATAAATAAAATCATAGTTATTATTATTTTTTATTTACTAACATTTAATGTATTACCTATATCTGTATTTATGTTAGACTATAAGGTATTTATCTATGGGCCTTCGTTGCCTGATTATAAACAAATAAATAAAAAATACATTGTGCAAAACATCGCCAATCGCTGTCTTTAAAGCCATACCCTCACTCAAGGGGGCTCGTTATAGAGCCGTCAGCTTGTCAGTTGCTCTTTGATTAGCGCTCGGGAATTATTGTTTAGTTGTTTCGTTTTCATCGACACCGATCGCCGCGCCGCCGTTCTGGACAGCTGTCAGTATGTCCGGTCCGAATCCGGACACTCTTTAATGATTAACCGAGTGATTTAGTCAGATTTAGTTGGCAACTGCTGTTTGAAGGAAAAGGGGTATTTTGGTTTGTCAGCTCTCAGTGTTTGTGTAGAACGAATTATTTTTTAACTGTTTGTGACTGGATCTTCGAGTAGTTATCTTCTTTAATTAAAAACAAAATCTGAGTAACCAAAGTATCGGATAGCCGCCCGTAAGTGAGTGGATACCTTTTTTTTGTGTCTGGGAAATGCTTTACGCTTCCTTCAACCACTGGGGGAGCGAGAAGAAGGTATGTGGGACACCTCCCTGTTCATTTCAGGAAAGCTCTGTAATCGGGTGAAATAAACAGGGCCCTACCTAACGCCCTGAACAGGGCCACTAAAAACCAGACAATACTCCTGCACCGTCACCCGACACGCACTATGAGGACCGCGGTCCTCGGTCGCGGCTCCCGTTTCCGAATGGCCGCGCACCCGCCAGGTGTTTGTCCGCGAACGGACCCACCCCGATGTAGATGCCCCGGAGCATCAGGGGCATCAACATCCTGAGAGCTTGTGCAATGCGAGCCCTTCCCTCCCCTAGGACAGGTTGCGGCTCTCGCAGGAGTGAGAGGGAGAGCGCAGTTCTCTCCGTCCCTCTCCTACCCCCCTTGGCCCTAAGAAGGCCTTTTGAGCACCTACCTCCAATGACAGTGATTGATAAAAACCACTGTGGGGTGGTGCTCCCACCCACCCTAGCCCTGAAAAGGGCCGTTTCCCTAGTCGTACGCAGCTGGACGGCTAGACGTAACTGTGTGAATGGATGGACGTAAGCGTTACTGTTAGGCACGCTGGTGGATGGTTCAACGTAAGCGGCTGGAAGGATAGGCGTAGCTCTTGGACGAATAGTCGTAAGCGGGTGGACGGATAAACGTAAGCAGATGGACGGATAGATATAAGCGTGTGGATAGCTAGGTGTCAGCAGATGGACGAATAGACATAAGCGGGTAAACTATTAGATAAAAGCAGCTAGACAGCTAGACATAAGCGGCTGGACAAATAGACGTAAGTGGCTAGCTCTACAACGAAGCGAAGCGAGGGCGGGCCACTAGTCTATATATATAAAACTCAAAGGTGACTGACTGACATGGTGATCTATCAACGCACAGCCCAAACCACTGGACGGGTCGGGCTGAAATTTGGCATGCAGGTAGATGTTATGACGTAGGCATCCGCTAAGAAAGGATTTTGATCAATTCTACCCCCAAGGGGATAAAATAGGGAATGAAAGTTTGTATGAAACTTTGTCAATTTTAAACCGATCGGGCTGAGACTTTGCATGCAGGTATAAGAAGAATCATAGATGAATGTCATTATGTATAATACAAGCCTGAGAACAAAAACTGTAGTCTACACTTCAGCTCTAAACCGAAGCGAAGCGAGGGCGGGCCGCTAGTAATACATGTGTCTTAAGTCCTAAATCGTAAATCCCAAAAAAAATCTATCCATTAAGCAGCAAATGTATGTTTTTTCCAGGCTGCTGAGCCAGTAGCTGTTTGACGATCGCCCGCGTGATCGCGCATGATGCCGCATGAGCGAGCGCCTGCCGCCGCCGCCGCGCCGCTCGCTCGATGCCGCGCCGCAAACGCCGGCTCGCGGCGCGCGCCCGCGACTGCGCGCGGCAGCTGCTCGCGTTCCTCTTCAGCAACGTCGGAGTCATAGTTCTGGTCGTCGTCTACACTATAGCCGGTGAGAATTCATTCTAATTTCTCTAAAGATTCGCTGCAGTTAGGCGTGTAGGCGCTATGCAGACGACGGGGCGGGGAGGGCCGGTCAATTTCGCCGCGAATAATAGCACAAAATGAATCCTATACTTCAAACGCACACAGAGGGCAAAAAGACCGCGCTGCAGGTGCCCGGCGGGCACTGGCGGCGCGGCATGTCCGCGGCTGCCCGCCGTGGATCATACAAACCAGTTTATATGCAGTAACGCAGACTGCAGCGCGGGGCGGTCAGCTCAGTTCAGGACGTTCGTTCTAGTGAATAGTCCATCACTAAAAAGCGCGTGGCGCGGAGTGAGCTAGCCGCTCCGCGCCGCCGTCTGCGTTACTGCATATAAACTGGTTTGTATGATCCACGGCGGGCAGCCGCGGACATGCCGCGCCGCCAGTACCCGCCGGGCACCCAAGGCGCGGTCTTTTTGCCCTCTGTGTGCGTTTGTAGTATATTCACTTTGTGCTATCGTTCGCGGTGAAATTGACCGGCCCGCCCCGCCCCGTCGTCTGCAAAGCGCCTTACTATACGCACGAAGTGTCGAGTCGTGGCGAATGAAATGAAATGAAATGAAAAGTCATTTATTCAGTCTAGGCTGTTACAAGCACTTGTGAAGGTCAATAAGCTACGCTATTGGTTCGCAAAACTACGGCGGGAGACCTTGTACTGTGAAGAACCGGCAAGAAACTCAGCAAGGGCTGTTTTTTTCTCCCTGTATTGTTAAATACAGAGTCGTCAAGTTGAAAAATGACTTCAGAGATACGTCTGAAGTCACCTTCCATTACATCATTTAGAATATAAATATATAGTTACAATAAATTTTATAGTTAACATTATATTTAGTATATAGGAAGCGACATTAGATAGGTACAATATTACTGTTGTGAAAAATTCCTAATATCCATTAAATAACAAATTATAAGAAACACTATGTCCATGCATTACGATCATTCAGATAATCGTCAACTTTATAATAGCCCTTATTCATAAGAGTATTTTTGACCTGAGATTTAAATTTAGTCAGTGGAAGCTCAATCAGATCTAGGGGAACTTTATTAAACAATGCAATACTACAACCCAGAAATGAAATGAATGATCAGAAATTACATGTTAATTTAACATGCGATCAGCGACACGGACTGCGCGCATTCGATCCGTTATTCCGCCAATACACGTTAGCTGAGCTATAACCCAACACGAGCGTAGGCAAACTCATACAAGGCAAGTTCTACCCTCTTGACGGTTGGCTTAGTTTGAAGAAAACCAATACAAATCTATACTAATATTATAAAGCTGCAGAGTTTGTTTGTTTGAACGCGCTAATCTCTCTGGAACTACTGGTCCGATTTAAATGATTCTTTCAGTGTTGGGTAGTCCATTTATCGAGGAAGGCTATAGGCTATATTTTTTTTTCAAAATTAGGGATTCGTAATAAAATTGCTATTTAGTAACACAAGGTGTAAAATCTAAAACCTATTTTTGCGTGCGCTGCAAAAACTATTGACAATGGAACAAAATGATGTACTACGGGTTTGTAGATCCCATTAAGACCTACAAAAAAGTCCGCAAGAACATATATCTAGCTATCATGGTTTAATCACAATAACCGATTTTGTGTTCAAAATAATTATTAAATCGTCTGAAGAAAAAAAACTACGTTAAATATGTATCGTAATATTAATCTTTATCGAAATTAAGCATTATGTTATCAAGAGTATTTATGTAGAAGTAAAATACTTTTTGTTTCATCTCAATCGGATATTTCGTTTAAAAGTTATCACGTGTGTAAGATGTTAAGAGTTGGTACCTATAAATTTTATCTCGGTATTTCCACGGAAACGAGAAAAACGCGGGTGAAACCGCGGGGCCTGGCTAGTGGCCAATATAGACGAGCTTTGTAGAGATGAGCATACTTTGTTGCGCTAGCTGTGTACTCTATCGCAAGCAGGTATATGTTCCCCCCACAACAACGACTGAGTAGTTGAGCCGACCCCCTCAGGTTAGAGTGGTCTGGAGGCTCCAGACGGAGAGGACTCCCCCCGGGGAGACGCCATCCGCCTGGAATACCTCCAGAGGCACTCGCTCGGCTTGAGATCCCCTTAGGATCTTGCCGTCCCCAAACCCGGTGACGCTGTAAAGGTCACCTGCGACCAACAGCATACACACTCAAAAAAAGATATATGTTATTGCAGCCTCTTACCATCAGGCGAGCCATATGCCTGTTTGCCAACCATTTTGAGCCGCCAATAGTATGTTGGCCGAGCTTACCCAACGCGAGCTGTAAACTGATACAAGGCAAGTTCTACCCTCCAGACGTTGGGCAAGTTTTTTAGAAGACCAATACCAATGTTGGCGCGCTACCACTTATTATGAACGACGTGGGACAAATGTTGGCGACGCCGACAACCGACGGCAAATGAAGTGTATTGTACACGTTGGTGCTTCACTTTACTCAACAAATTAGATAAGCGACACAGATGATGATAAGGCAAGACAAATATTCTGTTTATACTTAGTATTGGCCTTCGCTTGGCCAACATGTATGCTTTAGGCTGAGCTTTACGTTACCCCGTCGCTGTGGACTTCGCCTTTGCTTCGTGGTGTGCTGCTAACATTTCGCACGTCGTTCATAGTGGCAAGGTCGTGGTTGAACAGCCCAGATATGTTTACACATGACGCAGCATTAGGTATAGGGGAATCAGGGAGACTTGCCCAGATGGGAGAGTTGAGCCATCTTTAATTCAGCGCAAACGAAATGTTAATACGTTCATTTTTCACATGCGTAACTGATTTGTTCTGATCTGGGCGTCACGTATATGACCGATGGACGAAATGACGTTTTGTTTATGCTAAAGGACAATGGGCACAACACACCCAGCTCCGCCAACAATGTAATTAGTATGAATCGATAGATCTATGAAAAACTAGCCTTTTTTATTATGACAACAAAAAAAATATATCCTGGGAGTCAAAAGATATGACACCGTAAAAAATATCCTGGTAGTCAAAAGATATGACACATGGGCATATTTAAGTAGGTAAACAAATTTATTTTGTAGTACCTTCATTTTATATTATTAGTAACCATAATAATATGCCATGTCGTACTATACAACCAGATATACGATAAAGCCTGCCGATCCATCCTGCGCTTGCACTTACTGAGCCACCTCAAAACGGTTTACGGGGGTTGAAGGATTTGCATTTGTAAATAATCGACTTGTCTTACTTCGTTGTAACTGTGCGCTCCCTGTCACTTTATTGGTTTTTATCTAACACTCTTTGGACATTAGAACACGGTTATCGGTATTGTCAATTAGTATGGATGAACTGAAATCATGTTTTCTCCGAAGCGTGGACAAGGTTGGGTGATTTGTGGACGCTCCGTTTTACAAAGAAGACCATTTACTATAACGAACAGAATATTTGAAAAAACCCCAACCCATGAGGGGATTTCTAGTGCTGCAGAATAACATAAGGGTGCACCCTTGAACCTTGTGAAGTACTCTCATTATACCTGAGCCCCCTATGTAGTGTCGAACTACGAGTAACTAACGAAATTAATTCCCTTGTTTCATTAAGGTTCGTTCGTTATAGTACTTTTACCTATTTAACTTAAAATAACTTAAGACTCCCGGGATAGAATTTGATGCGCTTTGGCACAGATGATCATGATTATAATACCTTTCAAACAAATGTAATTTAAGCCGTGGCGGACGTGGGGGCAGCGTCCGTACATTTTTGCCCAATGTCCTTTAAATAGAATTTTGACAGATGGTTCAACTCTCCCACCTGAGCAATTCTCTCGGTCTGCTCCTACCATGACAGAGTAACAGTGGCGTAGGCAAATTCCAATCTGTTTTGTTAAATTTGCCAACGCCTTAGCTGGTTCAGATTTAATGAAAATAAATGTTTTCACTGCGTTCCAACAACGTCTCCAATAAACGAATGAGTAGGTACAACATCAATCTTAGAAATTATCTCGGATGTCACATCATCGAGCGAGAGTTTCGCTTCGACGGGCCTTTTCACGGCTAAATGCTGTAAAAAGGCTTTGTTACTTTACGGGAGACGTGGTGATTGTTAGGATGGATGTACACGCACAATTTATAGCATATTATGTACTTTACTTCAGTCAAAGAAAGCTCCTGTGTTGGATATGGATTTGTGTTATTTATATTTAATAAAATCAAATTATATTTTTAAATCTAAGGAAAAGTTTACTAGAAAAAAAAACATAATTGCTATTTCTTCTTTCAAATGTTTAATACTTTAAAAAGTATTCATTTGACATTGTGGGTTACCTACAACGTGAAGAGATGGCGCTGCCTTGCAGCTTAAGGCTAGGAAATCAGGGCCGTGGTAGCATAATTGGTCAGTGCATTCGCCCGAATTGCGAAGGGTGCGGGTTCGAGTTCCGTCCGCTGCCTGGTCCGCGTGAATTTTTTTCTAGTAAGCTTTTCTTCAGATTTAAAATCTAGCAGTTAAATGCTTAAAAAAATAAAAACATAACCAAATTATATTTATTTTACGACATCGAGAAAGAAACCACCTGACGATGCGCGCTGTGTCCAGGAGTACTGCCTTTTGCATCTGCCCCTTGACCCAACCATCTAGCGAGAGACTCTTTAGATGTAGGCCGAGACTCTACGCTATGAGACTATTCGCTTATTATTATTAAAAAGACATATTGGAAAAATGACGATTAAAAGTCGTACAAACACATGGGTCTCTTGTATAGGGATTTCCTTTAATTTCAACTTATTTGATTTTGCTAAGTTTTGTCATAGCATCTATAGAAATAAACAATCTGTGAATTGCCCCTGTCTACTTAATATGTGCCCATTACTTACCGTTACCGAGCAAACAATTTATTTATTTAATTCCAGACCAAAATCCACAGCATTTTCTTAATATAATACAGCTTTTACAATATAGTTTATCTTATGCCAATTACGCATTTTCATTTTTAGTTC